CTGCGGGGCGGCAGGGACATCGCCTCGGTGCTGTCTTTCCCGCACCGCAGGCTCTAACACAGGTCGCTGCAGTCACGCACCCATGGAGGTGACGCTGCAGCGCTGAGTTGCCCACGAGCACTCAGAAGCCCAAAGGCAGACCGATTTCTAAAGGCAATGCCACATTTAGTAGTGAGAACAATCGAGAAAGAGAAGTGCTTGCTCCATTCTTCTAGGCCCTGTACAGTGTGCTGATGCTTTGGGGATCAGGCTGTGGACAGGTTTTGTACATGGCTAGGTTGAGAACACTGTGTCTTGGCACTGCATATTTCTGTATGGAGTCTAGATTTAATAATCCCACTTCCAGATACAGGAGTAGGATTTTGCTTATGACTGACCAACACTCCTAGCATATGTTGTATGTACTCATAACATTAAAATATTGTGAATAGTACCTACAACTTTTGTAAGTGATACAAAGAAACATCTTTTAATCTAAAAATATATATTTGCAATACTGTGGTCCCTTCTATCCCTACCTACTCTATGATTCTGTATTATCAGGGCTTTACTTAAACATTCAAAAAAGGAAATGGAATAGCTGTTTAGGCTTAAGAAGTGGAAGACATTGAACTTAAATTACAAGTAGATTATATTTGTCCCATTAAAACAAACGTAGAAAGTGTTTTAAGAATTTCTGTGGAAATGGAAAATTAATAAGTAACTTAACAGCTTCTGCAAACATATTGAAAATTAAATAGAGCCAAGTAGCAGTATGTAGAACTTGAAGCCATCCCCTTCAATAAAACTTGATTAATTTGAGTTAATCAAACTTAATCTTTAGCACATTGCTTATGATAACAATGCATTTGAATTGAAACTGTGTAATAGTTTCTGTCACATCAACAAATGGTTTTGATTGGGGTAATAGATGTAAGGTACTTAAAGGCTTGAATGTATTGCAAGGGGCCATGTCCCAAAAAAAGCTAAATGTACTCTCTGAAGGATTATCGTGCCACTGTTTTTTTAGCATTTGGCTCAGAAGATGAAATTGTTGACATTGTCATGTCTGTGAGATTATTCTTTTCTAAAAGGTGTACTGATTGCTGGCTTTAGTTATTTTTTATCAGACTTTAACTATCAAAACAAATTTATCTTCCTGTTTTCCTCATGGAAAAATGTCCTTTCTTTTGTTTGTATTGCATAAATAAATTTGCATCAACTAAAACAAACTTTTTTTTTATCCCTATTCTATTCAGTGTCTTTTTCCTTGGAGCCATCCTTGTAATAGCAGCTACTTTTCTATACGGTTATGATCCCAAACCTGCAGGAAATCCCATTAAGGCATAGCAGACTTCCTCATCAACCTGCTCCTCGAGATCATGCACTGGGGGCCTTGCTAGCACTGGCATGTGGGAAGTGTCACTGTGCACTGCAAGGGAAGGATGACTGCCCTGAATGTATTGAAGAAATGCTGATGAGTAGTTCTGAACAGCCAGAGGGGTTACAGGTGGAGGGTGATGCTGTCTGTAACTGATGGGGGGGGAAATGTCAGGGGAATGCCCAGTGCAACTTGCTAATAAAAACTTGAAAGGAACCAAAAGTTTCCAAGAAACTAGAATGAGGAATGTTTACAGCTTTGACTGGGATTGCATCAGAAGAATTACTCTATTGACTGCTGCAAAAATATGTCCTATGCACTCTTTGAAAGAGCACACGACAACAATTGTCAGATTGTATGTTTTTGCGATTCGATTCTATTTAATCTTAGTAAATATGTTTTTAACTGTTTGTCTATTTACGTGAAATGAGCTGAACTTCATAGTTCTAAAGTGATGGTTCTAATTAGGTACTCCTTATTAAAACTGTGAAAATTGAAGTATGATTGAAAGACACTTTCACAATATCAAATGTTTTTATTTTTTTAGAAGGCTGATTTAAGAACAGAAGTCTGTTATTAAATGATAATATTATAATTCTGTTGCTTCTATAAAACTATTGTAAGAATGTTCACATTGTCACCGAAGTACAAAGGGAGGAATACTCCAGCCTTCATCAGCCTGTGGTGTTGGAGCAGATGGAATAACTCTGGGAACACTGGCTGGAACTTACCACGCGAACCTGGGAGCAGGAGTAGGGTTACAATGGGTGCTTGCTCAGATATAATGTTCGTTCTTGTTATTTTACTGATTATAAATCAACTTCTTGGTAGAACCTTAAAAGTAGGTTTTGTGCTTTAAGTAGTCTCTGAAGTTTTCTTTAGATCACGATTTAAAAAAACAAAGAGCCCATAATAAGCATTTTAAAGGCATTATCATTGTCTGTAACAGCTCCATCTGGAGATATTATGGTAGGGCATCTGTATACTGTACTGTACTTTATTACAGAGGTGTTTTTTAAACAAGTGTTGTTTACTCATGAACTCTTCCAAGCTTGTTCTGTATATTTCTATGTAATGGCTTAATTAGAGTTTGGTGGGGGTTTTTAAATTATTAATATTTTGTTCTGGGAGTCCTTGAGCCAACAGACCAAAATGGGTTCTCTGCATCTATTTGTTCTAGTAGTAGAATTACTTTAATAGGAAATTACTTTAATAGGAAATTAAAAAGCAATTAATTGTGCAATAGGTAAATATAAAAGCATGCTGTTATTTCAAACAAAAAAAAAAACAAACTTCACAAAGAAACCTTGCTGCAATTAGATCAATTAGACTGTTATGAACACTTCACTTGAAGTATTTGCATATAGTCAGAAACACTAAAAAAATCTAACTAATAAACAAAAAAGCTGTCTAAAAATCATTGGTTTTCAGGAGACTGTTCACAATGGATGCTGATGCCGGGTGACTCGTGTGACACCTGTGATGGTGCATTTATATAAAAACACATCAGGAATCCCTTACCGGTAGAATGACAAGTTGTAAAAATGTCTATTCCCTTGTTTTCCCCACCACCACCCCCTTCATGCTCTTTCTCACATCTGTCTTGTACTAAAGAAAATGTGTAAGAGAAAGGTGTTTTAAAATGTTTACCAAAGTACCTCATCTGATTGACAAGGAGATTCTGTAGGAGTGCTCTGAGATTTCTTAGTGAAGTGTTGTAAGTGGGAAAGGAAGAATTCCACTTATGTTCAGTCAAGTAAAAATAGTGTTTTTCTTCTGTTGGCAATTACATGTTTTATCAACGTTTTGTTTGTTTGTCTTATCAGAGCAAGACATTAAAGAAATATCACAGCTCTGCCTAGGGCTTGCTAAGCTTTGTGAACTGTGTATCTGTCCCAGCATGTTGTAATTGCAGGAGCTTTGCTGCTTGGTGGTCAAAACTATCTAAATGGGCATTCTATGTTAATCTTTCACGTGTAATATTCAATGTGGCACAACCTTTGAAAAGTCTCATTTAGCCATTTCCCCCTGCAGTGCAGCCTGAGGTAAGATGTGTGTGTGTAGAGCAGTGGCTCACGGCTGTGCTGGGTGCAGAATGGGAACCACACAGCTCTGAAATGAGATGGGAAGTGTTGGTAGTAATCTCTCAATTGGAGTCTGGCCCTACACAGTAATACTTTTGATTTCATGAATCACAGTGGTGGGAGTGTTGAAGTGATGTAATTGGTTACTTTCCTAAGAAAAGTCTCCAAAAAATGTAAGAAGCAGTTTGAGAACACTTTAAAGACGGTTGTATAGGAAGGGACCAAAAAAGCCAAATAATTACCACATGGCTGGAGCTCTGTGACCTGTAGCCTGGTTTTAACATTTCAGGTGGACCTGTCAATATTTGCCAGCAAGGGTGTTTAAAGGAAAGACCAGGAATATGTGCTCTTTTCTTTGGAATAGGATGCCATGCAGCTTTGGAAAACTGCCTGCTTTACTAAGGAAGAGTAACTCCTGTCTGTAAATCAGCGACTGCTTTGACATGACAGTCCAATCCTGTTTTCCAGGAGAAGGATAGAGCTCGTCATAGACATGTTGCTGAAAAGGAAAAATTAATTTGCATTTTTAGCTGCGTTTCTTCAGCCTTTGGCGGGCTGAGGAAAGGCTCGTCTCTGAGGTGTGACTCTGAACAAGGGGAGGTAGCACATATTTTGTGGGAACAGAAAGGATTTGAGGAGGGCTTACTGATTTCTGTAACCTTTGCATTGGAGAGCATATGCACATTTTCTCACTGAGGTACTTTTGTATTTGTATTTTGATTTTTTTTAAGTAGCTTTAAGTCTATAACTCATTAACCAAAGAGGAATACCTGGCACAGAGCTTTGGGAAGTAGTGGATAATGTGCTTTGAGTTTGCCCTAAAAGCAAATGCTGTAGGAGTCTAATTTCCTAAAAAAACTCTTGTCTTTCTGAACTATTTTCTGACTTCTGGACAATGGTTTTGTTAGTTTAGTTGTATATTTAGGAGACTAACCTATACTTAGCAGAATTTTGTTTAAATATTTATAAAGTTATAGAAGTTATAGCTAGGTATTTATTTGCAATAGCTTGAATGATGTGATTTTTTTTGCCAGACATATATTGGGTATACTGGTATTTATTGAACACTTGGGTATTGGTAGTGTTATTTGAGAATCTCTGGGATACGTGATAAATGGTCAAATAACAATGAACTTAGGACTACCTTCAAAGCAAAATGGATCAGTTCAGTGGTGAAATACCTTGAGGCTAATAAAGTAAGATAAACTTTTCTTTCAATGTTGTATTTTTAAGCAATCCACAAGTGCCCAAAAATGTATTTTCTCAAATAATTCAGATAATTGTATAGTTTTACTCAATTCATTGTTTTAAGCAGACTTAAAGAAAACCTCCCTTTTTATTTGTTTCAGTCAAGGGTAGATTAATGTTCTAGATTCAGCTTCTACAGTGATTTTTTATTACAATGTTTTAGTAACTATTGTTTTATATTTCCTCAAAAAGACAAAACTCTCATTTTGCTTGTGTTTCATGTGCATACAGGCCTCTCACAGACTCTTAGTAGTACATAATTCTTTTGTGTTTCTAACTTATTTTTATGGCTGTAATTCAAAATACTGTAATAGATTTTGTTAATTTTTTTAATTGATAAATTAAACATTGCATCTCTTCTGGTTCTTGTTGTCAATAACTTTCATATTTGAATTTATTTCCTAATCAGCCCTGCATGATCTGTTAGATTTAAGTGATTGTTACTTTCCGAATTTGAATTTATTGCTCGTTTTCCTCCTGGTGACAAGTTTCTTACTGGATATTGTGTTGAGGAGGATTATTCATTCCTTTCATATCTGAAATCTATGTTTTGTGAGAATGAGCAAGGGTTGGGTTTTTTTCGTATTAGAAAGGTAACATTTCTCTATAACATGACATTATATATATATGTGTAATGTGTCATTACCTAAGGTGGTGCATTACTGTGACAAAGTAGTGTTTCCTTGCCTTTGTTTTAATTGTTCTTTTCATTTTTAATGCTGATTTTTTTCCACAAGAAGAGAGTCCTGCTCCTTTCAGGTAAGCTCATTGTATATTTTTAGATACCTAAAATTCGGACATTTTACTAAAGAAAAATTAGTGGCAAAATTCGGCAAAATATGTGAAATTTATTAGATCATATCTTCAGTTACTGTCCAAAGTTCTGTTCAGTTGAATTCTTAACTTTTTCTAAGTATTTCTCAGCTGAATTTATAACTCTTTCTAGAAGAAGAACGAGCCTGTTCTGACTTGCCATTTGCTTGTTCTTGAATGTCTGCTACATATTTGCTTCCAAGAGTAGACATGGCACATTAACTCGTCTTCAGCCTCCCATCATTATTCTGGCTGTAATTAGCCATATTCATTTCATTAGTGATTTATAGCTCAGTAAGAATTGCTTACAAGCTAAGCATATCTTTATTTGCTGCCGTGAGTATAATTTTAAAATATTTTTTAAACTTTGTCCTTATTGTCAATATATGAGCCAAATTGTCAATATATACGTCAACATATAAATAATTTATTCAAACATTGTAGTAAAAATTTTAAGGTAGTCTTAGTTTTTTATATGTTGATGTCGATATTTGTGTGTGATTACACTGAATACTGTTCTAATATATGGTGTTTCCCAGCAGTTTGGAAAAGGTTATTTTTTTTTGTATAACACTGCTGAACACAGGAATTCATCTTGCATGACTTAACACTATCCTTTTTTTAATCCATATTGAGGTAAAATACTGTTTTGGTTTTCTTTCTATATGTGTAGATAATGCCACTGTAGTAATAAATTGGTTGAAATTAAGCACTGTCTTTATTAACAATACGATTAAAAACTGTTTGAGAGCTTTGTTAAGAGGCTTGCCTTCTGCATATTTTTGCAGAAATAAAACAACATTTTAGCTAACATTTAGTATTTCACAATATAATTTTAGCACAGTTTTCTATAAATTCTAGAAGGCTATCATAAGATGTTTGTTAATGGTATCTTTTAACATACCTCTTCCTGAATGTTGCCAGCAATTTAATTTTGACTGAGACATGACTTCTTGTCATGACTTCTTGTGAATCACCTTCAAGAGCAGTGTTCTTGTGGCACTCTGTGTTCTTCTGGTCTGAAACCCCAGATGTGCCCTGAACCAGGGGTGGTAGAGAGCACCTGGGTATCCATATTGAGTTATAGTGTGGGGTGTGGTTGTAAAACACTGTAACACTGCAAGGAGCTATGAATAGCTAAAATTTACAATAAATCAAAGACCTGAATAGAGTTCACAAGCAATTGCTACAGATGATGGATAACATGTTTCTCTGCCTTTTCTGCAGATTCATATAATAAAACTGGGTCATTTCACCAGCAGTTTTCAGGACACTTCATTTCTATCAGTTTATTTTGTCAATTTTGCCCTGCTCTTAACGTTAACATGTAACATGATTTAAACTGAATTTTTTTGTCATTAGGTAACAAATTAATTATTCATCATCTAGGGACAGTGTTCTTCAAGGTTGGTGTAAAAGCACTCCCTGAGGAATCTTATCTGAAACTAGTGAAACCATCATCTGCCTGTGCCTTGGAATCCCCCTAGGGAGACAAGTACTCTGTTCTTTTTCCCTCTTCCAAAATGATGGTGATGTCTTCTATAGCAGGTAGTATGCATTTACTTAGCATAGAGGTTGAACACTGCGGGTGTTTAGATGTAATGTACAATTCTTGTTTCTCTTCCTCAGGAGTTTGTGTTAAATAATGTTAGAGCAGATGATGTTGGTAGGTGGAGTTTAATATTTGAAAACATGTAGCTGGCTGGATTTCATTACAACAATAACAAGTTTATTCTACGTTCTCATTATTTGAGTTTATTCTACATTGTCATTTGAATCATCTGCTCTGTCTGCATGAGCAAACTTAATACTTAAATGCATTTATTTTGAGCTAAGGATATCAATAACATGAATAATATGAAAGTGTGGATAGAAAACCATCGTTAGTTACCGAGTGACTTTGCTGACATTGTAGTTGTGTTGACATTTTGCATAAGTCCCTTATATGTCACATACATGTCTGTGTGTGACCTTCCCACCAAAATCTGACAGTATTCTGAGGAATAGATTTGAAACTATGTCAACATTTTAGGACCCCTCTCCTTTTCAAGGAGAAGTGGGACAGATTTGTCAAATACTTTATATGACATCCTAATACCTGTAACAAATGACTGATAATTGCAAACATCCCAGATCCCCTAGATGCACTCTGTTTCATGAGCTGAAGTCTGCTTGTCTTTGTCCAGATCTGTTGGTTGGAGTAGGACTGTGCCTCGGCAAGTTCTAAATTCCTTAAAAGGTGCATTATGATGAGATAAGAGGTGTTTGATCTTAAGATCGTGTGGGCTTAAGTTAGACCCTCAACTTAAGCCCACACGATCTTAAGTGATGAGTGATTGACACCCCTTTTGTAACACAGTGGGAGCCGCAGTGCCAGCCACTACCTCAGGGATAAGTCCCACTGTTGGTAGGGACAAAAAGCTGTTCACGTGTAGCTGAGGTTTTGAGGGAAGAGGAGATGTCACAGGAGCTGGGGAGATAGAGATAAGCAGCAAGAGGGCTGAAAGGTGGAGGACTAAGGGCATAGAGGACAGACTGATACACGGATACAGCCATGGAAACTTGTGTCTGTATCATGAATGTAATGGTAGAGCATGGACAGTTGTTGCTCCTTAGTGATGCCAGACATCAACAGCGGATGAATTTATAAACCACAGAAAACCTAATAATGCCAGCAACATGTTTCCAAAAGATTTTCTCCGCTCCTTGGCATGCTGCCATGGGGAAGCTGACCCCTGTTATCTTGTTACTTGCAGGTGTTGTGGTAAATCAGAACCTGGAATGATCTGCCCGTTTAAAGGTGATGGAGCTTTCATAAACTAAGTTGAAAACTTGATAGTAGGAAAGAAGATTATCTGTCTCGAAGCTGGATCTTTAGGGTGGATTATATCTGTGTTTGTGTACTCTGGCTCTAGAAATGTCAGGTATATCACGTACGAACTGGCTTCCTTTGCTCCTTTTTCCCGGGCGCCTCAGCAGCTCGGGGAGTGATGAAGCGGGGCCGGGTGATGCTTGGGGGGCCGGATGAGAACCTGCGGCTGCCGCGGGCCAGCGCTCTGTGCTTTAGCCCGTGGTGTTGTCAGAGTGCGGGGGGCCGGCAGCAGCGGCGCCGCTCTCCCTGCGCAGCCCCGCACATCCCGGCGCGGGCAGGCCGGGGGAGCGCCCCGCACACGTGAGCGGCGCGCGGCCAATGGTGTGATCGCGTGATGCGCAGCGCTGGCTGCGCGCACGGTGGGGCTGCGCAAGATGGCGGCGGGCGCGTGAGGGGTGGCGGCGGCCGCGCCGGTGGGACGGAGGGAGCCGAGGCCCGAAGGGAGCCGGGAGGGGCCGCTGGTGCCGCCCCCGGGGTGCGATGGTAAAATGACCCAGGCGGGGAAGAAGAAGAAGCGCGCCGTGAACCGCAGCATCATGCTGGCCAAGAAGATCATTATTAAGGACGGCGGGACGGTGAGGCCAGGGGCGCAGGGCGGCCCGGGGGACAGCTGGCGGCGGTGGCGGGGGGGCCCGGGCTCCGCAGCATTGCGGGAGCCGGCCCCGGGCGGGTAGGGCCCGGTCCGGCGGGGGTCGGTGGGCCCGCGGGCCTCGGGCGGCCGCGCCCGTGTCGGTCGCGGTGCCCTCACGGCCGCTGCAGCCTCGATGGCCGCGCTCGGCAGCCCGGGCAGTGTCCGCGGGTCCGAGGAACACCTGTGAGCTGTCAGGCTCTTTGCTCCGCCCGTGAACGCAGCTTGTTCCTCGTGTGGGCCGGGTTTTGGGTCGCGGGAGCGAGTGCGGCCTCAGGGCTGGGCCTGGGGCACGGCGGGTCGTTAGGGCCGCCCGAGGTGAGCGCAGCGTGTCCGAGCCTGCCCTCGCCGAGCGCGGCTCCCGTGAGCGCGGGCAGCGCGGGGCCGGGGCCGTGCGGGCAGGGCCGCGGGGCAGGGGCCGCTTCCCCGCCGTGCCCGTGCTCAGAACAGATCGGGCCTGCGATCGGGACAGACACCGGCGCCCGAGCAGTTCCGCAAAAGGCGCCTGGAAGAAAGGTTTTGCAGTTCTTCTCACTGTTTTGCTTCCTCGTAAATACATAAATTTGAAAAAGAAAGGAAGTTGTTAAGTGTTTTGGCTGCTGGAGCTTGGAGTTGGTTTGGGTGGTTTTTTTGGTTGGTTTTTTTTTTAATAATTATGATTGCCATTACTTCCAATATATCATTGCCTCTGGATTTTTATTTTTTTTTTTTACTGTGTAACGCTGTGTAGCTTCGATGTGTCCTGTTCTAAATACAGTGCCATTATTTCAAATCAAGAGACGTCTTGACAGACTAAATTGCTGACAGCCCTTCAGTTTGTCTTTTTGGAACAATAATGGAGAAGAGAGAGGTATCAGATCACTGTACTTGTTCATCGAAGTGGCCAACTGGCTGGATTACTGAAGTGTTAGAAAGGAAAACCTAGGAATTCTGGTAATAGTCTTTGGTGTTTACCAGGATGTGTCCTGTTGTATGTAAAGATAGAAATACGTGAGATTACCTTATACAAATGTTAAATGCAATTATTTTAGATTGAGCAGTACAAGCCGAGTAAATGTTGTTATTCAGGGGACGTGCTGCTTCCTTATTTCTCTCTGGATTATCATTGATTAAGATACAGTGTGTTTCCAAGCATCCCTAACCCCTCAACTGTAACTTCCTTTTGCCAAGAGAGAAGAGAATATGTTGCAATAAACCACATTCAGTGATACTTGTAGTACATCATTCAGTGCCTCCCACCAGCTTCAAAAGCTGAGTGCAAACTCCTGTGAGTACTGTATTAATTTAATTTTTGGAAAACATGGAAAAATGAGCTGTAAACGTTAGATAAAGGTATGTAGATTGCTTTTAGGCAACAAAAACTTCCACTTGTGATACTTTCTGCCTTCAAATAAATGTTTGGGAATTTATTTGTTTTAAATACATATTTTTAAGTTATGAAGTCTGATATAAGAGTGTTCTTTATACCAACAGCAAAAACTTAATGCGTGGAATTTTTTTAAATATTTGCTCTAATATTAAGTTGGCCTTCAGTGTTTAGTGTTCTCAGCTGCTTCATTCGTCACCCAGCTTGGTGACATATGGGAAACAGGTACCTGAAAATGGCCCCCGTGTCTTCAATGTCTTCCACTAGCAAACCAGTAATTAATCAAGCATCTTTGTGCACACTTTACAGCACTTTCCAGCCTGATTGGTTTATTTTGGAACTGTTTGACATCAGAGAAAATCGTGTGAGCCAGAAAGAATGTACAGATGGTTAATGGGGCAGCGGCACAGGCAGAAAGAGTTTTTGATTAGAAACCAAGAAAAAAAAAAAAGACCACCTCAAGCAAAAAGGAAAATCCACCCATTGTTTCTGCAAAGCCTCTCCTCCCACTGCAGTTTCTGCTGGGTCTCCTTGACAAGGCAGTGGGCGGTGCAGGAGTTTGGGTTGATACATGGTGGTATTTTTGTGTTTTTCTATTTGCAGCTTTAGTGGCTGTATGACAGAAAAAATATGTAATGGTGTGTTGTACTCAAGTGTGTGTTATGAGATTTCACTAAAGGAGAGGCAGTAACACTAGCGAAGTGGTTTCATGGAATCACACGTGGTTTGGGTTGGAAGAGACCTTAAAGGTCATCTATTTCCAACCCCCCTGCCATGGGCAGGGACATCTTCCATAGACTAGGTTGCTCACAATCCCATCTAGCCTTCCGGGGTGGGGCAGCC